AAATGTTATATTTTAGTTTTATTATTTTTCTAATAATAGATTTTGTTTTGATTAAAAGGAAACAGTGGCAAAAAAAATTAAAGAAAAATAATGAGACAAGAAATTTGGTCCTGGCCACCAAAAAAAGAAAAACAAAAGAGAAACAATGTTGTGGAATTTTCCCTCTCTTTTTTAGTCCAGCAATTTGCTTATGTGCTGTTACAGGGCAACTTGCATAGCACCACGCAATTAAAAACTAAAACTTCCGTCAATGTGGTTAACGATGATTAATAGATGAGTAACAGTGTTGTGTTGGGTAAATGAAAATGAAATGGTTTTGAAAGTTAATAGATGAATTTGAAAGAAAATAAAGTATCTAGACTAAAATGAAAAAAGAGTAATAGTTAATAGATGATTTATTAAATAGAGCCCAATAAAAAATATTTCTATTTTTTTCTATTATTAAGTATTTGTATTTTTTTCTTAACCTAATATTATAATTATAATATTACGTAGAATTATAATTTAAAATTATTATATACCATTAAATAAGTGTAATATGTCATTCAATAAATAAATACATATAATATTATGGGTGAACTTTAAATAAAATCAATTATATAATGATATATTATATTAAAAGTTTATAATAGCACTAGACATTCTAATTATATCATTTTTATTTTTCTTGGTAATATAATTAGACTACAATCCAATATTTTATAATTTATATTACACCAAATTATAAAATATTAATTATTAAATTAGAGGTTTGAGGGTTTCTTAATTTAATAATTATCGTTTTACTATCCAATACAATTTGATTTCTTAAATATTTTTGTATTAGACTATACAAAAGCAAGAAACAAAGAAAAATAGAAAGATAGAAAAATGAGAAGGAAAATGCTTAACTAATGCATAGAAACTATCCATTTTCACGAAAAAAAGGTTAAAGTTTAATTTTGGTCCTTTAACTTTAAGATTTTACATAATTTTCATCTCTTAACTTTTTTATATACTTTTTTTGTCCCTTAACTATAAAAAAATCAATTTTTTTAGTCTTTCTATCAATTAACCTATTAAATTTATCTAAGTATACACATTCTAAATCTCTCAACTTTAGATTAAGGGATGCAAAATATACATATATTAGAAGTTGAGGGATTAAAAATGTGTAGATTCAAATATATTTAACGAATTAACTGACGGAAGGATTTAAAAAAAAAATACATTTTTCATAGTTAATGGACCAAAAAAGTGTATAAAAAAGTTAAGTAATGAAAATTATACAAAACCTTAAAGTTGAAGGATCGAAATTGACATTTAACCAAAAAATAATTGATCCATAATTTTTTTTAAAAAAATAATTAGTATACCTTTCATTTAATCCATCTTTCAATATATATTTGATTTAATTATTAAAATATAATATAAATACAATTCATTTAAACAATTTTTACTTGCTATATACAAGATTATATTTTTAAGTTTGTTTATATTTAATTTTAAACTATCAAATAATAATTTTTCAATAAATTTATTGTATAATATACTAATAAGATGATATACCAATTAGTATTATTTTTTTAACATATTAATCCATAGTAACACCATGAAATTTTTTTTAAAGGAAATGGCCCAGCAACCTACCTGAGGGTAAAATCGAGATTTTTACCAATTTCATAGTAATATTGTGATTTTACGATTTTACCTCCCAATTTTACTAAATTTCGATTTTAACATAGATTTTATTCAAAATGTATTCCTAAAATCATAAAAGCATAAGATTTTACAATTTAAATCACAATTGTGACAACATTGGATAGGAGGACATCTTCATTTACTATTGTCCACCAAGACAGAAACAAAAAAGAAAATTATATTTCTTGTTCTCTACCTATGATATTACTCAATCCTCATTTTAACCTCCGCTCCCTATGCTGCCACATGTCCTTCCCTTTGCCTCCCGTTTGGAAATTGCGTATTTTTTTTCTCCAGGCTTAGCAATTGGGAATTAAGGTAATAAATCCTCTTGAAACGCTGTCGTTGCATTATCCTGTAATCAGAAACCATTTAACCGTCCTCCTTCGGCCGTTCGTGTTTCTATCAAAAACTTCCTGTCTACTTGCTCTGTTTGCCGCCCTATCGCGATTTTTCTTCCCCAACTCTGATTCTCTCTACTTCCTTTCTTCGATTATCTTCCTCGCCATCAATTCAATTAAGTTTTCGATTCTTCTTCCGTCCATATTGCTTCTCCTTTTTCCTTTTCTGGGTTGGATATGATTGATGGAATCATTACGAGGAGTTGTTAATGGCTTTGATTGAAGCTCTTCGTGGGATATTTCAGAAGCCCACCAATGGAGAAGTATGTTTAGAGATTTTGGAGTTTCTGGGTCCTGTTTATTTTGCGTTTTTGGTGGGGTTGATTATTGGTTGGGTTTGGAAGCCAAAATGGGCGATCTTGGGAAGGCACGAATCGCGTTGTGAAGTCTCTAAATCTTTTGATTTGTCGTCGTCGTCGTCGTCGCCGTCGCCGTTAGGTTTTTCCCCGTTGAAAGCCTTTGGTTCAGCTCCGTGCTTGCGCTCTCATAATATATGGGTCATCAACAACGGCGTACATAAGAAACCAGTTTCTGCAGTTCCTATTGAACATGATGATTTCAGGTACTTCGATTTTTTTATTGGTTTTGTTTTTCACACCAAGCAAAACCCTTTCTTTCCTAGAGAGAGTTTTTTAACTCACTTGTTGATTGTATTTGTCTAGTACATCTCAGCCCCACGAAGGACATCCAAGTGTTATTACTGAGGAGGATTTACATAACTTAAGGCGGCTTGTGGAGATGAAGGATGGAGGTCCTAGTTGGATACATTTGATGGATCGTTCCACCCCAAGGGTGAACTATCAAGCATGGCAAAGAGATCCTAAGGTAGGAATTTTGCTTTTGTAGTTTGGTTGTTTGATCAGGGGAATTTATCTTTTAGATTAAATTCATATATTAACTGTATTATAGGCCTTTGATCATAGTGGTACTTCCATTTGGATTCATACATATTTGATAGTTTTGATGTTGTAGTTGGCTTTCTATTTGTATTGTTTGTTAGACGGGTCCTCCTCAATATCGGACTAGGACAGTCTTTGAGGATGCGACGCCAGAGTTAGTGAGAGACTTCTACTGGGATGATGAATTCCGTTTGAAGTGGGATGACATGCTTGCACATTCTGCTACTATGGACGTGTGTCCTATAACAGGGACCATGATTGTACATTGGATAAGAAAGGTTAGTTCTTTTTGTTAAGGCCAGTTGATAGATTTCCTCCCACTGCATATTCCAACCTTTCCTACTTCTTTGTTGCACAGTTTCCCCTCTTCTTCGGTGACAGAGAATACATAATAGGCCGTCGAATGTGGGAATTTGAAGGATCTTACTACTGCGTGACAAAGGTATGAACAGGGAATTTGTTTTTACATATTTTAAACATGTTTGAACTATGTGACAATAATGCAATATCAGTGACCTGTCTTTACTTGGTTGAATGCTGGTCAAACTGAATTTATTGCCTTAATTGGATATTGTTGTCTAGAGGTACATAATAATGCACAATAGGGAGGGAAAGCTTTGGACAATGGAGAAGTTATCCCCACAGAATACACTAGCAGAAACAATTGATTTGGCAGGGATAAAGTGGCTGAAGGTTTTTGTAGTGTAGGCATAATTTAGAGTTGACCAGTTAAATAGATGGTTCCTAACATTTATAAAAAGAGAAGTTGGTTAGTACGTAAAGAAAGATGAATGACTGTCGTGCAAGGAACAATAGACTTCAGTCTGACAAACAGAAGAGATTAATCACTGATATGGGTTGTGCTTCTGAGGCAAGTTGCATGTCATTTCCTCTTTCAGTTTACTTATTATTGTATTGTCTATCTTTATTACCTCTTCCCTTTACATTTGACTTAAATGACTCTTTTTTTCTCTGCTTCAGGGAATACCATGGCCTTCTATTCCCAGGCATGAGAAACCAAGACGTGTTGACCTATACTACTCAAGTTGGTACATTCGAGCAGGTAAACTAGATGCTATTCTCTGTTTTATTGATTAATTATGAAATGGTGTTTTTAATAGTTTCTTTCCCTTGAAATGGTCCTTAATGCATGAGTAAATAAAGCACTTGGTCTTTGGCAATAAAGTTTTTTTTTTTTTTTTAATGAAAAGATAATATTTCTGTAGAGAATGTATGTATCTGTGTAGAGAAATGTAGTCTCGCATCTTACCATTGCCATCCTACCAGTGAGTCAAGTGAATGAAAACTGAATCCCTCTTGTTATTCTTGATCAGTGGAATCAAGGAGAGGTAATGGACAACTAACTGCATGTGAGGTGCTATTATTCCATCATGAAGATATGGGCATCCCGCGGGAAATTGCAAAGCTTGGATTACGCCAGGGAATGTGGGGATTTGTCAAGCAAATGGAGCCTGGGTTACATGCCTACCAAAAAGAAAGGGCATCTGGGTCTCCACTCTCTAAATCAGCATTTATGGCTCAAATTAACACCAAAATATTTCCAGAGTACCTGAGAACTTTGGAAAGTAACAGTGATCCGTCAAAGACTAAGGAGGATGTGCCAATGATATCGGAAAACCCATTGGCTAAGAACATAGCAAAGATCCTAATTCTTGGTGGTGCTATTGTCCTTGCCTTCGGTCTTGATCGTGGCCTTCTGTGCAATGCATTTATGTTTCGCTTAGGCAGAAGGCTTGGAAATAGGGAAAAGAAATTGTAAGTTAGAATGCTATCATCTAAAATACCAAGTAATCACAAGTTGTATGAGGGAGCAGGTTCCTCATATCAGAACCACTTCAAGTGCAGTAAATGTCATCTACCCTGTTACATACCATGAATACAGTTCAAGGGTTATACATGAGATAATTGAGTTGTTGTTTACTTATCATCCTGTGGATTCATATTGATATCCCAAAATACTGAATCCATTTCTTGCAGGGAAATAGGGATTTCTTTCATCTCCAACAAACATGTAAATTGGAAGACGAAGGAGAATAGCATGATAGAGCGAAAAATAAACATAAGCAAAAACTAAATGTAAAGAATCAAATCAAAAATCCAGAAACATCAACGACAATAAACAAAACCTAGGAGAATTATCAAATGTCGAAGGGAAACAAATGAGTATAAACCAAATAGTTTAGGACCGTAGTGCTCAAGCGAAATCTCCCTATAGTGCTGGAGTGATCCAAACCATAGGCAGTGATTTTGTAGTGTCTCCAGGAATTTGAAGAGATTTGACACTTCTCTTGGTTAAATTGAAGATACTGGCACCGTGAGGATTAGGAACTTCAGAATTGCAGTTTGTGTAGTATATGCAATTGTGTTGTAACTTAGAAATGCCATGGGTAGGGATTAATGCAGAGAACTTTTCACATAAAAACAATGCATTGCCTCCTAAATCCTTAATCTCAACCAGATTTGCGAACTCATGCAGTCCTTTCACCTTGTAAACCCAAAATTTGCTTGTGAATGAATCTTTCTTGTAGAAATCTCTGCTACAAGTCCCTCGAACCAGTAACAAATTTCCATCAGATGAACTCACCAAATGAAATCTATAGTCATGAGGAAGTGTTGTTAATCCCAATCTCAACTGTGTTTTTTGTGCTAATAGCGATACCAATCTCATACGAACCCACGAACATCTTTCAATGCCAGCAACATCAATCCTTCCAATACGCATTTTGATATCTACAGCATAAAAATCTCCTTTGTGATGAATAATATCATGGAATATACGTGGAAGGTCAATCAAGAATGCCCAAGACTGTACACTTGATTTATAGATTGCCAATTGAGACATTGGACCGCATATGATCGCAACCATAAAATCATTGGGGTATAATTCCGGATCCTTTGATAAAACTCCTTTCTTAATAACAACAGTCTTACTCAGAGGATCCACTAGGACCCCTTCTTTGTCTATAATCGGAGGTAGTTTGATGATTTTGTTGGAGAAAGGATTTAATAGAATCATACTCAATGTCTGGTCCAAATACATCAGCCATCCAAGCGAAGAACCGAAACACCTTTTATTTAGATGTACGTTTGATTTTATGTGGCTGACTCTGCCGTGGATGACACTACATATAAGCTTTTCGTGAGGAATCAAGAGCAAAGGAAGCTGGTGAGGATGGAATGCATCGATGTTGTGTCTTCTTTTTCTGTATTCTTGCGCAACAAGGTACCATTCCTTGCATACACCAGCAAAATAGAGATAGTCGACAACATACACCAATCTATCAAGGATTAAATCCAGAATGTCCTTAGGCAGCAGTTCCCAATTAGACACTGAAGAATCCATGATCTCTTCCGCTGGTCATCCAAAAAAAAAAAAAAATTTAATTGGTTGAAGTTTGAACAAATAAAAAAAGTGTTGTGCAATCTGTAATGTAAGACAGGCAACTCCACACATGCAAATGTAATGGTTTTTGTGTTTTGCATGCTGTGAAAGAAGTTATTATGTGCATATACTAACCAGTGGGGAGGAGAGATACTTCATCAGTTGGGTTGGAGGTGGAACTGATGCTATTTACCGTGTTAAATTCATCTTCTAAGGCATCTGAAGGGCTGAACGGTGTGCAAATCGGAGTCCTAATTACCTGGCTTAAGAAATCATTTGCTGCGGTGAACAATTTCAAAAACAGGAGCCACAACTTGTTGAAGAAGGCCATGAATGGAATGCCTAGTACAGTTGCTTATTATGTTGTGCTGAATTTTGATCCCCTACTCTTTATAAACGGAGTTTAAATCGTAAAAGTATGTTGTTTGCAGAAGGACTCTACCACTAAGGGAAAATCGATCACCAAGGGGTAAACATCTGTTTTATTTTATTTATAGGGTTTTTCTTTTAGGATTTTGTCTAGGGTTTTTGTAATCTACATTCCAAGGGCAAAAATAACCTTTTATCATCGTTAAGGTACATATTACATTAAAAAATAAAAACATGCATTAACTTTACTAATTGTCTAATTAAAAATATCCACATAATATGACATTAGTGTTAAAATTAACAAAAATACTATAGTTACAGTTTTACAATATATTAGATTCTCTCTGTCTCAAAAGAATTATCTTTTTTTTTTTTTTAATTTTAAATTTATCCTTAATTAATTGTCAATTTTTCATTTTTAAAGATAAATAAATATTTTTTTCTATTTTAATACTATCATTATCTATTCATTTTAATTAATTATCTAATAAAAAATCTCTTTTTTTGTTTTTTATTTTTACTTAAAGGTATTACAAATAAATACAAATATTATTCTTAAATCTTTAATTTGAAAAAAAAAAAAATGACAATTATTTTGAATCAAAAAGCATAAAATTAATGTCAACTTTTTTATTTTGTTCATGTAAACTAAGGTATAAAAGATGCATTTAACACACTCTAACAAACTCCTTTTTCTTTTTTCTCTCTTTTTTTTTTTTAATTTCTTAGTAAGGAAAATAATTTTATTGATAATAAATATAACAAAGAATACAATGGATTTTCTGCCTCCGTGCCCATAAGCACAACTAACGAGGCAACCTAGACACACAAGGCTCTCATCTGCTGCAACAAACTCATCTAATAAGGAACAAGAAGCCCTAACATCAAGATCATTGAAAGCGAAACAGCCAGATAAACAACAAAAGAACTTTGACTCCCAACTGTTCCTCCGCTTTTCAGGTATTTGGTTCCACTGGCATGATACACTTAACACCATAATAACTTCATGTAATAGCGAAAAACACATCTCAGGATTAGTGGCAGAAACAAGAAAACGCCTTCCAGGAAAAATACTACTATGCATATTGCGATAGAAATTGCCTCCAATTCTAAGAGAACGCCTTCTTACTCAAGAAAACAAATACTCTCTTTTGATCCTCAAAAGTTAGGACACATGGGTTTTAGAATTTGGAAAAAAACATAGCTAGAATTTCAGAAGACATAAATTATACAAAAAAAGATGTATACTTTTTAATTCAATATACTATACAATATATTTATTAAAAATTTATTATTTTTTAATTTAAAATTAAAAATGTAACTATGTATACAATATGCAAGAACTGATTGAATTAACTAATGACTAAATTAGATAAGTGTTAAAAAGTGTATTAAATCAAAGAATATATCAATTATTTTTCCTAAAAAAACATAAGAAAACTAAGTTTAAATAAAGAGAGTAAGATATATATAGTTAATGCTGGCTCTTTAGAAAAGATGGAATTTATATGTAATGGATAAAATTCTTAGAGAAAAGTAAAGTACCCAGCCACCCAAGTACATGCAGTGCAACAATATTGTCATCTAACACACAACAAAAAGAATTTAGTGGAGACTTAAATTAATATTCAGTAATTAAAAAAACATTGATTTAGAGTTAAAGTTAATGATTTAGACTTTTACAATTTTAAACAGTTAACTTCTTTAAAGTATTAAAAAAAATATTGTGATCTAACAACCAAAATTTTTAAAAATAAACTGATAAAAAATGTGAAGAGTTTCTCTTCTAAAAATGACAAATTGTTCTAGAAAAAAGAGGGGAAAAATGTGTAAAGCAACTACAGTGCACAAGTGTATGGTGTGCTCTCAAGCCAAATCCTTTGCTAGTGTAGGAATGATCCAAACCATAGTGGCAATTCTCTAGTGTCTTCAGGAACATAGTGAGGCTTAATGCTTCCATCAGTTAAGTTGTAAATACTGGTATCATAGGTGCATAAGGATCATATTCATTGTTTATGTAGTATATGAATTGCGTTGTAAACCAGGAATGTCACGGGTTAGAAGTAAGAATTATTATCACCTAAAAACATTTCATTATCTCCTAGATCCCTGATCTCAAACTAGCTCCTTTGATTCTTTTAGTGGTGGATTACGATTATGAATATTGGCGGTTCTTCCCATTCACCATACACACAATCTGAGTAGTGTTGGGGCAGTTTCACGATTCAACACTGTTGAAGTTTTCGGCTGCTTCCACACTTGAAATTCTTGAGGGTAACACTCTAACGCTCAAGTCAACAATACTTGGTATTCTAAAGAGAGATACTCTCAAAGAATAATTGTAAAGAGAGAAGTAGAGGAGTTAATACCTTGAATGGAGGTAATTGAGGGGTATTTATAACCCCAAATGCTGGCATGAGCTCATACATATATTCATTCAATTAGTCCACGTGTTACTGTCCATATGAACATGTTTCCTTATCTTGGACCTGTGAGTGTATAATTAGGCTTGCTGCATGCGGCTCAAAGCGGGTGTTGGGCCTAATCCCAACAAGTAAACTCTGCTATAAACTCTGCTATAAACTCTTTGAAGCAATAATAAATTTCCCTCAGATGTACCCACCAAATTAAATCTACAAAAAGGTTATGTTATTGCTGATAGTGGTGCTACCAAACTCACTTAATCCGTTAATCGGGCCGTCAGGATTTCTCAATACTAGCAACATCAATCCATCCAACACCCAATCCACCGTTAATGGTGTAAAATTGTCATTCGTGATAAATAATATCATAGTAACCCGTTCCATTTGGATGATCATCCATGTACGTCCACTACCGTACACTTGATTTAGAATCTGCCAAATAACACTGTCCATTGTATATGATTGCAACCATAAAATCATTAGGATATAAATCTGGATTGTTTATTAAAATTGCTTTCCAAATAAAATACTCATGGATAGTGGTAGATTCCTCACCTTTTGTAATCGGAGGTAGTTTGATGACTTTTTCTGAGAAAAAATTTAGTAGAACTAAGATAAATGTCCTGTCCATGTCAATCAACCATTCATATGAAAAACCGTAGTACCTTTTATTAAAAGGGGCTTTCAGGGTTAATTTGGTATAGCAATTTTGAGAAAATGATTAAGGATTTTATATAAGTTGTTAAATATAAGTGTTTAGTAAAATTATATATTTTAAAATTACTACAAATAAGGTATTTGATAAAATTTTTATTTAACGGTTTGAGATTAGTAGTTAGTGGCTAGGGACCAAACTACTAACAGATTGAAAAAGTTAGTTTTTGTAGTTTTTGGTATTAAACCGTTAGTGAATTGGAATTTATTAATAAATTTATTCATTTTAATTTTTTAATTTTTGGTCACATTTTTAATTAATATTTATCTAATAAATTTCAATTTTATTTTTTTCTTTTAATAACATTAAGTGATAATAATATTTTTATTTTACAATTAATTTATTATTAAAAATATATTATTTTAAAAAACAAAATTTGCTAATTAGATAAATTTATTCATTTTAATTTTTTAATTTTTG